ACTACGGTTCATACCTTAGACCTGAATGCACTGATATAATAAATAAAAATACATGGTCACTTAACAAGGACATTATTGACTCAAATATTAATGCATTTAATAAATTCATAGCTCAACACAATTCCGAAGATTATTTGTTTTTTAAAAACATTATAACATATAAATTAAAATGGACAAAATAAGCAATGTAAATCTAGTCTCACCACAACATACAAATATAAAACCGGCAACAAGTACAGGTATCTAATATAATTTGTAATTGAGCAAGAATATATAATTATGTTTATAATAAATAGGTGCCATCCCTAAGAGGGTGTCGAGTAGTATATCACGTAATACTGAGTCTAATGTCTCGATCGGATATATAAGTAGTATTCGCGAGAAGTTTGAAAAGTTGTCACAAAATACAAATCACGGATGAACGTACTATAATTAAAATATTAATTATAATTTAGCTTGCCAAATTAATATATTTATTATCTATTTGTTATTTACAAAAATCATATACTAGTTTAATAGTTATTTATCATAATTATAAATAAAACATTTTACCTTGGTTTGTTATTTTCATTAATTTTAGTTATATTTTATAATATTGAGAAAAAATATACTGATATAAAGGTTCTGATAAATAGAGAAAATTTTGTGCTTCGTGAATATGACAGCCAATTGTTTCGGCTCAATCCAAGGGTATAAATAAGTGTTCATAAAATGTATAAATAACATAACATTGCACCAAAATGTAACAAAAGGTTCTACACCAAAAGGCCTACAACCGAAAAGGCCTAAACTCAAATAACTAACTAACCAGTGGGCATAATTTTAATTAAACTGTGGAATAGACGTGTCTTGACCTAACCTAACCTAAATTAATCCAAATGACCATGGTCAGTTAGTCATTCAAGTTTAGGCCTTTTGGGTGAGTCCCGTAACAAAATCATGCCTGAGTATTTTCAAAAAATTCTTATATTAATTAAAATAATTACAATTATGATTAATAAATAAATATAGTAATCTTAGTACATTTGAATGCGAATAGTGCCACCACTACAACCATTATCAATACACTCAGCATTGTTATCAATAGATATTAAATACCATAGAAATGTTCATAAATTTAGTAATTTTAGTAAATTTGAAAACCCTAAAAGTTAATAGATACGATTCAAATTACCTTCATAATTAACACTATTCAAATATGAATTTTATTAGTCATTAATATTAATGGATGGCATAAGAAATGAATGTACCTGGATAAGAATAATTGTTTGTTTTTATGTGAGCTCAACGTATATCATACACTCATAATATCGTAACATTTCTATGGAATCATAAAGTTTATCACATTTTCCATAACAACACCAAACATATCACTATACAATTGATCGACATTTTGAGTTATTGTCGATTAAAAAAATTAAAACATTTTAATTCAATGTTTAAATGGGTATTAGATTCTTGAAAACATATCATAATACAATTGATCGACATTTTGAGTTATTGTCGATTAAAAAAATTAAAAAATTTTAATTCAATGTTTAAATGGGTATTAGATTCTTGAAATTCATAACATAAAACTTAATTTTTTGTAATTTGTGTGAAAAATGTCTACACTTTTGAATACTTTTCGTATTTGCGATACGATTGACACGACTACTAGACATGAAATCAAATTATTTCATGTTTTCGATGACAGGAATATTAAAAAGAATATACTATTTGTCACAAACAATGACACCGTCTATGGATTGGGTGCTAATGGTTATGGATGTCTGGGTTTTGGTCATAACATGGATGTAAAAACACCACTAATTATACGGGAATTGTGTGGACAACAGATCCAACAGTTTATCAATGGATTGGACTTTGTGTTGGCTTTGAATGAGGACAACCATGTGTTCAGTTGGGGACACAATCATTTTGGACAGTGTGCTAGAGATGTGACACCAAAAGGGGTTTATTTAAAACCACAACTAATATCACAATTAAATGACAAGAATATCGCATATATTTGTTGTGGTCTTTGGCATTCCCTGGCGCTCACGACCGATGGAAAGGCGTACGGGTGGGGCAGTAATTACCATGGACGAATAGGATGTGGGAACTTTGAAAATAATATAATTCAAAGTTCACCAGTTTTGATACAATTTGAAAACAATTATAAGATGAAAAATATATTTTGTGGTCCCGCGAGTTCATTAACAATTACTTTAAATGGTTTGGTATTTAGTTGGGGTCGTAATAGTTTCCATGAATGTGGACACCAAACACCAAAAGCCATTTTTATCCCCAAATTGATTCCACAGTTAAATGATATCAAATCTATTTGTTCGGCAATTATGCCTGGAAATAATTTCACATGTTTTCTATCCAATAGTAATATAATTTATTTTTGTGGCAAATATACTGATGACATGAAACAAATCCAAATAGAAATACCCAAACCAATTTCAATGAAATTAAACGTTCAACAGATTGAGGAAATGCATTCATTTGTTAATCGATATGTAGTATTAATACAAACTGATGACACCATTTGCGAACTTTTCTCACCAAACAAAGTGAAAAAATATAAATATAATAATTTTATAGATTTTTATGCAACTGAATGGCAACTAAGTTATAATTCATTATACATAATCACAAAGAGCATGGTCACAAATTCCATTGAATCTGTAGTGAAAGCAAATGAAATGCCAACTATTAAACCAAAACAATATAATACTAATACAAATGAAGGTATTTTGTTATTTGTTTTTAGTTTAAATAAATAATATGATTGCTGTTGTATTTGTTATAATTAATATATTTTATTCACAAAATAGTTGTAACAAAATTGGGACATAATTC